AAGTTCAAAATATACGAAATTTCGTAAATTACGAAACAATTACGAATCGATTCGTTAATGGCGGACGCGATTGCGCAATATGCAAAAAAAAAAAAACCTCCAAATGGGACAGGGGGAACTTCTGAAGCTTCCCTCTCCCTCTGTTGTTGACTGTTGGTGTGATAATTTATTTTTTATCACTGATAAAACAAACAACAACCCTAAAACTTGCACCAGACATACGGAAACAATTACGAAACAATTACGAAAAAAATTGAAAAATTTGTTTCGATTTTTAATTGCTCCTGCATGGCTCGATATCGGATCGTAAGCTAATTTAAATACGAATTAATAACGAATTACGAAATTAACGAACGAAACCGCCCAGCCCTACTATCTATCTGTGGAATGTCCAGGGTGGGAGAAAGAACCCTTGTCTGTTTGAGGTAGGTGTGAATGTTACAGTTGGCCACCTTGGTTAGCATTTAATGGCCTACCTGCTTCAAGATCTGGCTTCTTACTGCCTGGGGGCGTAAGTACAACCATTTAGGTTGTACTTTCACACTGTAACATAAGTAGCATCCGCAGACAAAATCTGTTTTAGGTGCCTATCTTGTGTCAAGAACTGGATTCAAGAACGTTTTCTTCACATCTTTTTGGAGAATACTCTTTCAATCTGCTAGATGAAGGCTAATGTGCAACTGACAGGCTTTTATACTCTCTCTTTTGTGTCACTGTAACATCTTTAAGCAAGAGCAATTATAAAAAACCACAGCATGAATTCATCAACGGAAGGATGTTAGTTGTTTACTAAACAAATTTAGAGAAGGGTTAACAATTTCCCAGTCATTTTGTAACATAGTGAGGAATTACAAGGCCTTTAAATATGAAGGCCTTTAAATATTAAATTCAATTAAATATGAATGCCTTTAAATATTAAAATAGGGTTTTACATATCTTTTAAAAGTACTCTTCAGTGTGTTCCCTCACAAGTTTTGCAGTAACTGGCTTGTCCTTTGCATTAATTTTCTTTTAAAATGGACATTACACTTTTTCACACAACAGCACAATGCAGAGATTACAACAACTGTTCCCCAGTCTTCCTATTTTGCACACTGAATGCCAAGTAGGGCCATATAATTCTCAACAGTGTCAACGGTGCTTATTGCAAGGCATATAAAGTTCACAATTTGGCTGTAGTACAATTTGTGGGATCTGATCACGCTTTGATGGAATAGACTGGTGAAGTTACACAGCAGTTGTTTCAGGTTTACCTATCAGTCCTCATAGGAACAGTGAGTGTAACTTGAAGTGTATCTATACTGTAGAATTATGCAGTTTGACACCACTTTAACTGTCATGGTTCAGTGTATGGTCATAGGAGTTGCAGTTTTACAAGGTCTTTAGCCTTCTCTTTCAAAAAGAGAGCCAATGCCTTACCAAACTACAAATCCCAGCATAAGAAATAAGAATTAAGAAATAAAGTGAAGAAGTGAAGCATTCCACAGTATTGAGCCATGGCAGTTAAACTGATGACAAACTGCATTAATTCTACTGTATGTATGTATCCTTAGAAAGGTTTTAGTTGTCTATGAACCTAAATGTATTTATCCAAGGGAAATCCCACTGAACTCAATGCAAATAATCTTCAAGCAAACATTGGATTATGCTGGTAAAGAGCAGACTAAACCTCAAGGGCCATAGTACAGACATTTCTGTCTCTTCTGGGGCTTTACCAGCAATGTGCATCCCCATCCTATTCACAGTAATTAGCATGAGGTAAATAGCTTTATTAGTCTGTTACATTATGTACAAAAGGAAATTTATGGCAACTTGAAGACTGGAAAGTTTCATCTGCCATACAGGCCATTTTATGAACTGTAATCTATTTCATCTAACAAGGTAAAAGGTAAAAGTTTCCCCTTGGCATTAAGTCTAGTTGTATCCAACTCTGGGAGTTGGTGCTCATCTCAATTTCTAAGCCGAAGAGCCAGCATTGTCCATAGACGCCTCCAAGGTCACGTGGCCAGCATGACTGCATGGAGCACCATTACCTTCCAGCCAAGGTGGTACCTATTGATCTATTCACATTTGCATGTTTTTGAACTGCAAGGTTGGCAGAAGCTGGGGCTAACAGCAGGAGCTCACCCCACTCCCTGGATTCAAATTGCCAACCTCTTGGTCAGCAAGTTCAGCAGCTTAGTGGTTTAACCCACTGTGCCACCAAGAGCTCTGATAAAGTGAGACTATAATCCACATAGGTTTATGCCAGATAAAATAGGTACTGCCAGACCTTCCAAGAGTAACTTTTTGAATTACAACTCCCATAATCTCCAGTCTGTGTAATCAATACATTTGCTGGCTGGAGGATTCTGGGAACTGCAGACCAAAAATGTAAATGCTTCCTTATTCTGGTTCCCAACCATGTTTATCACTGTTACAAAGCAGGCAAGACACACATCTGTGAAGTTAAATAATAGATATGGGCGATGGAGAGCCAAAGGTCATCCCCTCCCTGGCTCCAAAACCAGTCTGGCATTAAAAAACCAATCAAGGAGACAATGGTGGGGGAAGCAGTTCTATCTGGTAGTGAAGCTTGTCATCTTCTCTCCTGTTGGGAAGGCTGGGGCAGCAGTTTGTCATGCAAATGTACCTTGGTTTCTCATTGTTTTACGAACAAAGCACAGTGATGTCAACAGGACTGGAAAACATCCTTGAATAAGAATCTGAAAGTCTTGTGACCTTTTATTTATTTCTCTCCTCATAATCTCATAATATCATTTCAAAGATGTCATTCCCAAAACCTTGTTATGCACAAGGAAACTTAAGAATTTCCTGCCATCACTCCATCATCAGCCAACGACCTTAATATCCCTTTTGCTGCCGTCTAAAAAAAAAGTGCACCAACTGAAGTTTGCCCATCAAATAACATTTTACTTAGAAAGAGTTGCCCTCAAGGCGGAATATTTTTCTGCTCCTTCTTTGAGTCTTTTCTTTTTTTCAAATCCTCTATATTGCTGCAGATTCCTGGCTCTAACTTCATTGCTGTCCCTGTGGTGCACAATAATAAGTCAAAGTCCACTTGGTTGCATAAACCCAAAAGAGCTGCCCCAGTCTACAATGCCATTTGTTCATTCATGTTTGAAGAGACTGGAGCTTAGGAAACAAAGTGTTTATTGCCTCCAAAATATCTAAGACTAAAGTGTCAAGGCCAGACTCTCCCCATTTGCTGAACTGCTTGGCTACAAGCTAAGCAGTTCAAATCCTGTAAAAGCTTCTGAAAGATACCACTCTGCTGTTAAAAGTAGATATAGATATACAATGGTTTGTTGTGAGTTTTTCAGACTGTATGGCCATTCTCCAGAACCATTCTCCCCTGATGTTTTGCCTGCATCTATGGTCAGCATCCTCAGAGGTTGTGAGGTCTGTTGGAAACTAGGAAAACAGGGTTCATATATCTGTAGAATGTCCAGGGTGGGAGAAAGAACTCTTGTCTGTTGGAGCTAGGTGTGAATGTTGCAACTGGCCACCTTGATTAGCATTTAATGGCCTAGTAATTTCAAGGCCTGGCTTCTTACTGCCTGGGGGAATCCTTTGTTGGGAGGTGATTAATCACGTTGAAACTGCTTGGCCATTAAATGCTAATCAAGGTGCCAATTGCAACATTCACACCTATCTCAAACAGACAAGAGACCTCACAACCTCTGAAGATGCCCGCTATAGATGCAGGTAAATGTCAGGAGAGAATGCTTCTGGAACATGGCCATACAACCCAGAAAACTCACAACAACTCAGTGATTCCAGCCGTGAAAGTCTTCGACAAAACATAGATATACAATAATAATAATAATAATAATAATAATAATAATAATAATAATAATAATAACAACAACAACAACTTTATTTATACCCCGCTCCATCTCCCCCAGGGGGACTTGGTGCAGCTTACATGAGGCCATGCCCAAAAATACAGAAACACAATATAACACAAAAGCATACCAAAACCAGAAATAAAATACATAAAATGTAAAACCAATATAATGAACTATCCGCAAAATACTGGGTTACTTGTAACATCAATAAGTATTATCCCTTCAGTAATAATAAGATGAAAATGCAAAAATATGCAAGCATACAGAAATAAACACACAACTTGGAGAATTTGTTGGGTGGAGATGGAGGTTTCAAATAGAACTGTTAAGTTAATGTAGGAAATACTGTTTGGATTGCTTACACGTTTATTTACTGTACTCTTATTGCAAGCTGAGCTTGCTACCAGCTTCTTTCCCACAGGTTATTGTTTTATACACACAGTCTTCCCAGCATGTGTCTGGGAAGCAGAATATAGGTTAATATGACAATCCAGATTCTTTCCCATTCATTGGCTCTACATTTCTCCAAAAGGCTCAAACATATCTGCAGTTGGTTGCTGAAAGTCACGCCAGTCAGTCATTGATTCAAGAATATATACTTACTTTTACTGCTTGTAGATCTCAGAATCTTCATGTAAAAGGCTTTATTCTCTTCCTCACAAAGGAACTTTGGGAAGCCAACATGTGGCATCCTGGCTTCTCAAAAGGCTCCAAACACTTTCTGAACTAAATAATACCCAACAAGATTGCTATCCTCCCCAGTATTTATTTCCAGCTTTATTTCCAAGCTTATCCCTGACATGGCAGTGCTAAATACTAACACAATGCATTTTTGTACCAGCTACTCCAAGGGATTTACAATGTTCCTGTGATCAAAATGTTTATACTCCAAGAGGGAGGGGGAAAGAAAGTACATTTCCATGTTCTACATTATTGTTGTTGTTGTTGTCACCTGTCTCTCCTTAAGGTTCAAGATGGGGTACAACACAGTTAAAATACATAGATAAAAACACAAACTACTAAAACATATATATAATAAGTAAATAAAAGTTTTCAATCTTTGCAACACAGTGCACAATGAGCTTCCTTGCCCAACCCATCTCTATCCGTCCCCAGAGAACAGACAGGGACCACAACACAGTGACTTACTTGGTCCAAGAAGGGGTCCTATGATTCCCACATCCAAACATAGCCTTTGGATCAGGGCTACCTTTTCTTCATTCCCCTAAGAGTGCAGCAGTCATGGCAGCAGCAGGAAGGGAGATGCACTTCTGAGAGGGTAGGCAAGTTCCTCCAAGGCTGCAACATCACTCCACCGTTACCAAGATTCAAAAGAACAATGGAAGCTCCGCCTCTGAGAGGCTGGCAGGGTCCCCTCTTTGATACATCCAGTTCTCCCTGGAGCAGATGTCCTGAAATCACTCCCCCGCCCCCTTCACTCTGGAAAAGCATAGGAAATCCCCCACTCCTACCCCAGGGCCGTAGCTATGGAGGGATCAGTACATTGCATCCCCTGACAAATCCGGTCCTTTCATAAAAAATGTTCCTTCAGTGCCAAAATTTCGAGCATTTCAGTAACTTAAAACTTAAGCTGAGCATTGTGAAATAAAGTTTGGACATCTTAAAAAAGGGACAGGCAAGGGGATGAAAACACAGGGTACATCACCACTGCAGAATTAATGCAGTTTGCCACATTTTTAACTGCTATGGCTCAGTGCTATAGAATCTAGGAGTTCTACATCAGTGGTTCTCAACCTGTGGGTCTCCAGGTGTTTTGGCCTACAAATCCCAGAAATCTCAGCCAGATTACCAGCTGTTAGGATTTCTGGGAGTTGAAGGCCAAAACATCTGGAGACCCACAGGTTGAGAACCACTGTTCTACATGATCTTTAGCCTTCGCTGAAAAATAGTGTTGGTGCCTCACCAAACTACTACCCTGGCATCCACCAGGAACTAGCAGCCTATCATGAAAGGACTAAGGCATTGACATCTCTGGCCCATCCTCTGTTCGGATATCAACCAGCAAGCCAATGCCTTAAATCAAGAAATAGCTTCCAAAGATCTAAAGAGATACTCGCAGGAACACCTCAGCAAGCAAGAGTCCAAAAGTGGAAGGTTAAAACCCAGAACCTCAATCAGTGGCTGATAGCAGATGAGAAACTCCCTTCTGAGCTCACAGAAGTTTGGGCAACTTGGAAGACACTGAACAGACTATGCTCTGATACCATGAGATGCAGAGCTAACCTTAAGAAATGGGGCTACAAAGTGGAGTCCACAACATGAGAGTGTGGAGTAGAGCAAACCACCAACCACCTATTACAATGCAGCCTGAGCCCTTTCACATGCACAATGGAGGACCTTCTTACAGCAACACCAGAGGCACTCCAAGTGGCCAGCTTCTGGTCAAAGGACATTTAGTATAATGCCAAGTGTTTAATCTTGTTTGTGGTTTTTTCTATCTTTTCTTTCTATATATATAAGAATGCTCTGTGCATAATGAGTACCTTAAAAACAAAAGAACCAATGAACGAAATCACACCAAGTTTGGCAACAAAACATCTCACAACACAAGGAGTGACCATCACTCAAAAATTATGATTTTGTCATTTGGGAGTTGTAGTTGCTGGGATTTATAGTTTGCTTACAATCAAAGAGCATTCTGAACTCCACCAATGATGGAATTGAACCAAACTTGGCACACATAACTCCCATGACCAACAGAAAATAATGGAAGGGTTTGGGGGCATTGACCTTGAGTTTGGGAGCTGTAGTTCACCTACATCCAGAGAGCACTGTGGACTCAAACAATGATGGATCTGGACCAGACTTGGCACAAGCACTCATTACGCCCAAATATGAACACAGGTGGAGTTTGGGGGAAATAGACCCTGACATTTGGGAGGTGTAGTCACTGGGATTCATAGTTCACCTACAATCAAAGAGCATTCTGAATCCCACGAACAACAGAATCAGGGCAAACTTCCCTCACAGAACCCCCATGACCAACAGAAAATTCTTAAGGCCATGCAGTCCAACTCCCTTCATCAGGGCAAGAAAACGTAATCAAAGCCCTCCTGACAAAGAACTATCCAGCCATAGATATAGATAGATAGATAGATAGATAGATAGATAGATAGATAGATAGAGATAGATATGATTCACACACACACAAATATAGTATCCTAGATTTGAAATGGACCCCTAAAGAAGAACAATGATATGTTGCATGTTCCAGAGTAGGCAAACCAGACAATCTCCACGTCAACACTGACAAAGAAACAGCAAGAAATACTGTTTACCCACAAGGATTAAAAAATTACATATATTAGAAACCAACACTTTCTCGTTACTTTATTTTCCAGATCAACAGACTGGGCCACAGCAACGCATGGCAGGGGACAGCTAGTACATTATAAATGTATTGTCAATTTGCTTTTGACACAATAAATAAATAAATAAAACCAAACTGCAACTTCCAGGATACCACAACACGGAGCCATGGCAGTGAAAGTCATGTCAAACTGTGTTGATTCTACAGTATAGATTTTCAGTGTTTTGTATAACGTGAGATATTTGGGGATCAAAGAAAAAATGTATGGGGAAGTAGAATTCTGATTTAAGAGTAGTCAATGGCTGCCTCCCCCCCTCTGCCCTACCTCTGTTGTTGTTTATTTGTTCAATTGCTTCCAACCTGGAATAATTCCACAAAATAGATCTCATTGGTTTCAGTTCAAATCCATAGCCATATTTGGCTCCATCTACACTGAACATTTAATGCAGATTTAAACCAATATTGAAGAAAGTGGTTTCGCTGTACAGATGATTACATTGGAAATCCTGGAGCAATTTTTAGACCCAAATGGAGATTACACAAACCATAGAGCACTGATGTGCATTAGAATGGTGCACTTTTGTGAAAGTTTGTTATGTTGCTGCTGCAGTTTGAATAGCTTCAAACTGCATTAAATGGCCAGTGTGGAGAGGGCCTTAGTCTGGAATATCTGTGTGCTTTTTTAAAAGGATACCAAGATGCTTGTTTATTAAACTATTGTCCTTTAACTCTATTGTACATTTGCGAAACATGTACGCCATCTACAAATGTCACTCTTTACTTCTGGAACTATTCCATCAGCATTACCTTTGAAAACTCCTACAAATCTCTTGGGAAGATAGGCGTACAAATCTGTATGGTAAGGAATCTTGCAGCACCTTACAGCCTGAGAGAAAGAAACTATAACATAAGCATGTCAGAAAATAGACAAGTGTTCCTTAGGGTCACCGTAAATCAAAAATGAACTGAAAGCAAATCACAATCCATCCAGGTATTGGCACACTGTTAGGCCCCTTCCACACTATCCCTAAATCCCAGGATCTGATCACAGATTTTCTGTTTATCCCTGATTATCTGGCAGTGTAGATTCATATAATCCAGTTTAAAGCAGATAATCTGGGATCCGATCCTGGGATATAGGGGCAATGTGGAAGGGGCCTTAGAGAGTGGTATGAATGTAAGTGCAACGTATGCACATGTATGACCCTTTTGGATCAGGCTCAGTGGGTTTAGAACTCATCCCAAAATCACCACCTCAAGCAGATGTCAAGCCATGGCAGGGGCTACTCTTGCTAGCCTCTCATGCAATCTGTACAGGAATTCTTCATGAATGTTTCCCTTCTTCTTCTAGAAAAGCCAGCACAATTGCAAATACACTAAGGATGACCCTGTACTTCTATAAACTTTCTACCTCAGATGTGATGATCACAGAAAGTTCATGTTGGTTAATCCAGCCAAGAGCTTTGTGATCCCCAGAAATAGCCTTGGAAAAAGGTAATGAGTGATCCTAGGGCATGTGGGCTATCTCTTCAGACTCCTAAGGGGAAGAGATATGCCTTCTCACAGCCTGATAAGTTGGGAGGATGAAGGAGAAAAGAAGGAAGTAAGGGGAGAACAAAGGAATAAGGGCACCTAGAAATGGCCCTTCCCTCACTTTCTCTAGTCACAAGTACTTTCCACACCCATTTTTGCTAAAGAGGCCCCTGAGGAAATATAGCCCTGAAACACAAGCAGATCCAAAATTCCAACTCTTCTCCAGCCTTACTGTTTTGTGTGGTAGATTTAAACCAGCATGCTGGAGACTGCAGTATAAAGCATACTTAAAACAATTGTCGGATTAAGATAGGATCTAGAAAGATACTAATCATGACCCTTGACCTACATTTTCAAAGACGATACTGATCTCTCAGATGTTTACACTGGGCTATATGTGTTCATGTGTGAAAGCAATACATCTGTTTATCAAAAGTCAGTTTTCTAGGGTTCAAAACTTTTTTTGAGAAGACTCCTTTTGCAGTAATAAGGACACTTGCATTAATATGTGTCATATGCTATGAACTCATTGTTTTTGTTCATGCTTCCAGAAATGGATTGGAATTAGTTAATATAGTTCAATTGAGTAGTTTCTCTTTCTTGTCTTCCTTTGTAATTTCTTCACTCAGGAACTGTGACCTCTAAATCCTTTACAGTGTGTATACACTACAGGAAAGCTGAGATATTTTGCAACAGGTTTGGGGATATTGCCATTTTTAGTGTCTGATTCGTGTCCATTAATCCTTTTGTGTAGAGCAATATTTCGCAACCTGGGGGTTGGGACCCCTGGGGGGGGTTGCGAGGGGGTGTCAGAGGGGTCACCAAAAACCATCAGAAAACACAGTATTTTCTGTTGATCATGGGCATTCTGTTTAGCCCAGTTCTATCATTGGTGGTTTTCAGAATACTCTTTGATTGTAGGTAAACTATAAATCCCAGCAACTACAACTCCCAAATGTCAAGGTCTATTTTCCTCAAATTCCACCAGTGTTCATATTTGGGTATATTGAGTAATCATGCCAATTTGGTCAAGATCCATCATTGTTTGAGTCCAGAGTGCTCTCCGGATGTAGGTGAACTACAACTCCAAAAATCAAGGTCAATGCCCACCAAACTCTTCCAGTATTTTGTGCTGGTCATGGGAGTTATGTGTGCCAAGTTTGATTTAATTACATCATTAGTGGCGTTAAGAATGCTCTTTGATTGAAGGTGAACTATAAATCACAGCATCTACAACTCCCAAACGACAAAATCAACCCCCCAACCCCACCAGTATTTAAATTTGGGGGTACTTGGTGTTTGTGCCAAATTTGGTTCAGTGAATGAAAATACATGCTGCATATAAGATATTTCCATTCCGATTCATAACAGTACCAAAAGTAGAGTTATGAAGTAGCAACAAAAATAATTTTATGGTTAGGGTTCACCACTGCGCCCACTGTGGCGCAGTGGGTTAAACCCCTGTGCCGGCAGG